GTTGTACTTATGTGACAGTCATTAATTAATATAAATGTATTTTCTAAAACTAATATAAATGGATTATAACTCGTCAAAACGAATATAATTCAACGGTAATTGACATATATCTCCAATAAAGAGATTTTGAGTTCGATCCCTCACTCCTACACCACATGTTGTACTAACAAAAAAGATTAGTATAACTTAGATATTAATTGCTACATACTCATAACAAATCACTAATTAACGACATGATTGATTTGCATACTTTAATTTTCCTATATTTTGAAAGAAAAAAATCCTATATTTACTAATATATTTTTTTTCAATTACTAGTTTTTATTTACATTTTAACAGCATTGTTATTGTGTACAAAGACAAACTTAATTAGCTGACGATTAAAACACCTTGCTAAAATGTGGGAGGTTGAAACCTCAATCCCCACATTTGTTGTACTAAAAGAAGCCAATCGTTAAATATGGTACTTGGGTTCACACGACATCTTTGAGATTTCAAGAATTTTGTGCAGTGTCTCTTTTTTTATTCCAAGTCGAAAGCAAAATATGCAAGCTGCATCATTCTGCTTTGGTTCTCTAGTTATCCAATTTTTCTCAATAGCTCTTGAATGTTTACGGAGAAGAAATCTTCATCCATAGCCCATGTGACTTTTATCTCTTAATAGGATATCTTTTATCTAAAAATAAATAATAAAAAAAAAACTTATCAATAATTTGTTAACAAATATTATTCATTACCCTTGCAAAATATATGTTTGTTTATATATATATATATATATATATATATATATATCACATATGTTTAGAAAGAAGATTTTTGTTTATTTTACGGTGTAGTCTATTTTAGTTCCCTAAACGGCCGTTTGGTTCAAGGTTTTAAAAAAGATGCATGGGATTAAGATACCTAAAAATAAGATGCCTTGGAAACAAAAATAACTGTTATGTTTGGTTGTATATATATTTGAGATTAAGATGCCTGAAAATGAATTATATATATATGTTTATTTTGTATGATTACTCTAGAAATATTCGTTTGATGTGATTGTAAACATTGATTTAACTATATTAATAATTTAGTACCATAATCAGTTGAATAATTAATACTAAATGTTATTTAACTAAGAGTAGGATTTGCATCCCAACTTTCGTTATTAGGTTAGCAAAATATATATTCACACACTTATTATTCATTCAATCAATTTTGTTTTGCACTTATGTGTCTATTATTGTTAGGGAGTGATTATTATATATCAAAATAATTGTGTTATCACCTACAATTGCCATGTTTTTTTTAACGGTAAAATGGCAAATAAACAAAAAAGAAGCTACAGTACACAAATTAATTACATGAATATAATGGCAACATCAAAGTACGAACGAATAGCATAAATATATAACTTTGGAACCTGCGGAAATTTTAGTAGTTGATTGCTTGTTTAACACGTCGTGCTTGCCGACTTGAACACAGTTAAATGCGTCAAGGTTCTTATGTTCGACTAGAAAGTCGTGAGTTCGAATCTCTCCGCTCCTATATGTTGTACAAAAACAAAAATATATGGTATCTTTAAAAAATATTTCTTCATACACGAAGTTTTGAATTTTAGAATTTGTGTTTATATTTTTATACTTTTTGTACACTTTTATTTTTATTTTTCAATATGTTATCAATAAATTTTGTTATATCATATTTTTACAAGTTAATTTAGTTCAATTTTTTTAAAGAAATAAATTGATATGAAAACTCTAGCAAATTAGAATTAGGAACTTTTGGATATATGAACTCCTAATTCACAGACATTAAAACTCCAAAATTCAATATTTAGCACAACTCTAAAGTAGAATTAGAATAAGGTTATGATCGAAGACCATGAAGTGAGGAGAACTAGTTCCTTATTCGAGGTTGAACACTCTAAATTTGAAATCAAGATTAAAAATTGCAAAATTCAAGCGCTCTTAACTTAATTACCAGAAAGAAACGGCTTAAAGGCTCAAAATTTCATTAGATAAAAACTCATTTGTTCAAACAATCTAAATGGTAAACTTATGTATGACCTACCAATAAAAATAACGCAACAAATATTAATTCTAATTTATTTCGGTAAAAAAAATAAATAAAATAACCCACTAAACTAATTAAATAATATTAAGGCTAACATTTGGCCCAAAAT